TACCGTTTATCAATTCAAGAAAAATCTTAAAGAGCTCCTTACTAACCAGTGATTTTAACTCATGAATATTCATGATACTATTTACATATAATAATAAAGACCAAATTTCTAACTCTTAACTGCCTCAATCCTAAACCAGCTTATTGTATTTGTATTGTATTGAGACAATTGGATGTAACTTATATTTTGTCCAAAACGTGTAGAAATGGAATGGTCATCGTAAGAAGGGGTGATGGGTCTTGTATTAGCCTCAGCTTTTTTCCCAGCATCCTACATCTTTGTTTATTGTATATGAATTAATATCATAACATTGTGAATCTTCGTTCCTCTGAATTTATTTTCATTATTCATCTAGCAGCAATGTTAACAAAGATGTGAAATAAACCAAACCTAACCAATGTTCAGTGTCATATGGACCAATGTACTTACATTTCTTTTCTGTGAACTGGTGTAGTAAGCATGACTTGCCAACACCCATATCACCTATAATGATGTACTTGAAGATGTAGGAATAGTTGTATGGCCCACTAGCCATGGCGTAAACGCTGTCAACAAGAACAGAAAAATGAATTCCAAATTAAGTATGTGCTACTCTAGTCTCGTTTCCAATTGAAATCATTTGGCCTATCTCTACAACTAAAACTACTGAAGAAAACTCTAAGATCATTGCTTGCTGGTAATATGATACTAGTCATCCTTTGTCTAAATCATGATCCTCCATATCATAAAGAATCCAGTAGAACAGGAGTTTTTTCCAACATGTGGGATGGATTTTCTCAACTACTCATCATATACTTCTGTGTGTCAGGATGCTATCATGGTTATGATTAGGCCAAGTGAATGTGCAAGCATAGCTACATATTTGTTAAAAACAGATATAAGTAAATTTACAGCTCTGATATCGATGGCATTCTACACCAGTATCACTTGGGGCTAAATATTCTGAGCAGCCTTCGGGAGAACTACTTAATGATTATGCATGATGCTAAGGAAGCCGAGGGGTATGTAACCAGTCAGCGTGTAGCCCCTCACGCGAAAACGATCTCGCGAGTACATGGGAGTTCGCGAGAAAAAACGAGAATACAGTAGTGTCCCTTCAACCCGCCAGGAAACCTGTTGCTTCATTCGTGGGTCAAAATGGCTTGGTGAGTAGATAGTTTGACGTTTTTCACTATCAGTAAAGTTATGTTTTGGCGATGATCGACAATTTCCCAATGATTTATTTGGACGCAAACTTGCTTAGTGTTTTTCACGAAAATTGCAGGCCTCTTCTTTATTAAGTGCACCTGACTGTTTCGCAATAAGTGGATAAAAGTGAGACTTATAATTCTTCAGGAAAAGGATTATACATCTGTTTAATACCAACATTTTCACTGCCAGGCCAATCAAAATTTCAAAGTTTTATGCACTACTCACTCAGCGATCCCAGCAGTGTTTACATTTTTGCGATACGAATGGTAAGTCTGGTTCCCTATTAAACGACCAACATTTACTAGGTTTCCTTCAATGCAAAGTCTAGGTTCCCGATTTTGGTCACACACATTTACGCGTATGTCTGATGTCATTTGATTGACCAGTATTAGAGAGAATATGTCAATCAACCAATCACAGATAGTCTTTCACGAAACACATACAGCAGTTTTCTCAGTTAACCTCACGAAGTCTAAACGTGCGATAACGAAATATTTTGGGTGCACTTGAATGTTTCGCATCGACTTGAAAAGTAAAAACTTGTTTGGCCGGAAAGATGACATATCTATCTTTCTGCTGTTAAGAAGATTCTGCCGGCCAAGATTTGCATCCACTAAAACCAGTTTTTTGTACCCTCATGTTTACAAACGAAAGCCTACGTTTTACGGCCAATATCCTTCAAAAGAGACTGTGAATATTTGAATTTTTCACAAAGGACATGAGACTGATATCTTAACTGTTCATTTATGTAAAGATATTCCATTCTTAAAGGTAACACAAGGTGGTATACAATTTTGAAAAGTCCACAACATGGCTCATTACATATGCATGATTCAGACAGCCGTGCATACGTAGCAAATGAAAGGAGCAGCTTTTACGGGTGCTGCGCACTGACTGTAACCCAGATGTTGTGCGGTAGTGCAGCTGTCAACATGCCATCTTTCTTAATTAACAGTTTGCCTGTGACACTAAAGAAAAGTCCAACTGAAGAAACAGAATATTTGCAATATTTGTGTTCCTGCCAGTGTTTTAAAGCCATCAGTGCTTACTAAAGATAGCACTTTTAATGACAAAAAAGGAAAGAATTAAGCATTGATCCATCACAGTTTTTGTGAGGCATTTGTTATAAATTTAAGCAGGACTTCAGTAAGGGATGGGGGTTTGTGTTCTAAGGAAACAAGTTTAGGAAGTACATGTAGACATTTAGAGTCAAGTTTTGGGTGTTCAGGCTTGTCACTGGTCAGTGCAAATGCTCCGGAATGATGCAGTGACGCGGCTCTTCCCCCCCCCCAGGCTTGGATTGTACAGACAATTGCAGACACACGTTGTCGAGTCATGAGACTAGACCAGCTTTATTATGATTATAAGCCGACAACAACTAACTTTGTATCTGCTATCACTGTTCAACATCCATCTCGTCGGGATCTATCACCCCGAGTAAAAGATTGAGCTGCCCACAAATATGTTGAGGCAGTGCATCAACAGAGAGTGCTACTGCAGCTCTCGTAGAGAAAAAAAAGATTCACATGCACGCTTGAAATCGATCACGCTGACCAGAGAAGAAAGACTTTTTTGGCTTTATGTGACACTAGAAAACTGATGGTCCAATCTTGCATTCATTCTGAAGTACCTGTCAATTTTTTTCACGTCAATCTCATAGATTTAGGAATTGGTCATACAAGATATTGTAAATTTGCCTAATAACAAAGAGAAAACAACCCGTAAGACAAAAGTGGCAACAGGGGAAAAAGGAAGGCTGCACACACTAACTAGTGGGCCCAAGTCAAGAAACAGATTTCTTTTTATTCTGGGTTTAGTTTAGAAAATTTGATTAGCCCCAATCCATGTTATCTATTTTGTAGGTTTTCCTCTGCTGTGGTCTCAGTCAGTGTATTATGTACTTTTAACGTGTCACATGATGTCATTAACATTTATTGACTAAACAAAGCGCTTCAGGGGTGCGAATAGGACCCTTCGTTTAAATATGTAAGTTTCAAAATGTTAATGGTTGTCAAGTGAGTAAATATGAATAAAAATTAGTCGTGGATCCATTTTTAGTATTTGTTTCTCATTTTTCTTCCCAGAAGAGAGCTAGATTACTTGGGTTGACACCGAGTTGCCCATATTCATGAATAAAGGTAATCAGTGATGGGATGGGATATGCGCCAACCTGATAAGGCACAGACATACACCCAAGGGTGTGGGAGGGGTGTGGAAAGGGGTGTTCATTAACTTCTGATGGTGGTTGCAGGCTGTACAAATAACACAGAACACGGCAGTAACTGTTAGAATGGAATTAGGTCTACCAGTCCCAGGAAGGTGATTTCAGAGGACAGTGAGACTATTTGTCTTCTCTTAAGAAATTATGTGTTCATTATTATGATTACAGATCTATTTTTGCAGGGGGGTTTAGAGACAAGGTGGATGGTTAATACGGAGTCATGGGGTGTACAGAAGAAAGGACAGACCACAGGAGGATACGCGGTGCCATATTTAGTGTTGAACATTGGGCTCGTGAGGACTGTCAAAACAGATAAGTAAATAAACAAAAGACACATTACAGGACTTTACTTGTAATTTATTATGCAAGGATGTTAAATAGTGAGAGGCCAAGGAACCTCGTGTTGCAAAAAGTAAAATGAATGTTCTTTATTAAAATTTATTTCCCTGTTCCTGATTTAAGAACGTTATTCAAATGAACTGGAAATGACTGCTGGAAGCGGTTTAAAATGCTGTACAAATTCACAGAATATGTGCTGCTGCAATGCCAAACACCAGGACTCACACTTTCAATGAATATATTGTGCAGCACATCCATGTTTTAGCCACTGTAGATTTCATAGACTCGAGCTGCATAGATTTAGGCAGGAATTTTTACACACACAAGGTGGAACCCACTAGTAAAAGCTGCCTACTCCTGGGCACAAAAAGTAGTAACATTTTGTGTGAATTGCTTCAATGACAGACTGTGAGTTGTAAAACTAAAATCAACTCTAAAAAATTTCAACTGCACTGTAGTTTTCTGGGAATCTTGTTTCAAAGCCTTAGGTGCACAGGAATAGGAGGGTCGACATAATGATTTTGGGTCATCTCGTACCCAAGTCATCTCGTACCCTGGTTAACTCGTACCCGGGTCAACTCGTACCTGAGTCAAGTCTTACCCAAGTTAACTCATACCCAAGTTAACTCGTACTCAAGTTAACTCGTACCCAAGTTAACTTGTACCTCCTTACGACTTAGTGATTTCTATTACGAGAAAATTTCTAAAAATATATTCCAAATAAATTTTAAATACTTTATTAAAATTAAAATAATTTTTTTATTCTTTGCAGGTAAAGCATATCTCTTTTTGGAAAATGTGGTGGCCCTGAAAAGGGCCGTTTGGTTTGAAAGTGGTTGCCCTGGAGCTTGCAGGTAGAAAGAAGCTGGGACGTCGTCAGCTCCCCAACCTGGTACCGCTGCCAGATCTTGAAAAGCTTCGCCTGCATTGTCTTGAATCGCTTTTGCTGGTACCGGCAGTAACAATTAGACAAATGATATTTTTTCATATTCATCTCAATTTAATATACCCAACAATACAAGTCAACAGAGCAGAGAATATGGGAACGTGCCTTCATTCCTCTTTCGTCATTCGTGGCCGGGAAAAATGCTTCCATTGGTCAGATTCAATGTGGAAATTCATAGGGTATGAGTTAACTTGGGTACGACTTGGCTCGGGTACGAGTTAACCTGGATACGACTTGACTCGGGTACAAGTTAACCTGGGTACGACTTGACTCCGGTACGACTTAACTAGGGTGTAAATTTTGGGGTACCAGTTGACTCGGGTACGAGTTGACCCGTTACCGACATGATTGAGGATACTGACTAGTATGACTGAGCAGGATTTGCCAAAACTCCCATTTTGCCCATTGCCATGATTGCTTCTTCAGAACTACAGACATAGGAAGTGAACCACTGACCTGTCCATTAAACAAACCCGTCAAATAAACCTGATTTGCAAATAACCTACCGCTAAACTGGGTACGACCCCCGTGCCCGTGTACCTCACAACACAATCACGCAATGCGATAACCGCAAAAGCCATAGGCCGGCGGGCCGCATACCGTACCGACACGAACGCTGTGCTGTAGGCTAGGCCCGTGTACAGACTGGTACGGCCTTCCTTCATGTACAGCCAGACATCTGCCTCGGGTTCAGAATCTATGGAAAATGACTACCACGGGCTAAAACTGTGAATACTTACGTTTGATCTGCTCCCGTCACTTTACAAAGCGAATCTTGTTCGTTTGTTTTTGAACCAAATCAAGTTCAAACCCTGAACCAGACTCAGTGAAATCCAAAAATAAACGTTGTATATTCACTGCGATAAATGCGGAAGATTTGGCTCTCGTGACCCTAAAACCAAGATGGCCGCCTCGCTTCGAACCACCCTCTGACGTCATAACCAATTATTCAACGGCAACTATCTCGATGAGTATTCCTTGAAAAATTTTGACACTTTGAACATTTCAATAAAAGTTAAAAAAAAATAGGTAAATTTCCTGGACAGAGATAGCTATAAGAAAAAAGCCTTACTCTGACTCTAGACGTAGGATAAGAGTGGTTCCGATATTATTCCTAATAATACCTGATAGTGATAGAAGTTCCTCCAGGTCTAGAAATACCATGAAGGAAGGGTAATATACCACTAATGATGATTAATTGATTGAATTCATTTATAAATAAATCCAACATTGATAATAACCAATAAATTCTGGAATAGGAGGAAGTGCATGGTAAATTTGAAATGCTCCTTCATCTTTCCTGCTCAGCTAGTAAACGTCCTGCGACGGGCGCATTTTTTTAAATTTCACACAACACGGCTATAAAAGGAAACTGGACTGAGTCGAGTAAGGGTGTAAACTTTTGAGCATTTACTTTAAAGAGGGAAGTAAAGTCCGGCATTTAGTGGGAAAGCTTCCGCTAGTCTCCTCTCAAGACTGGAAACAAAACCCTACCGAAAGTAATAACTACGAACGTGTAAAAAAAAATGGACAACATACATGTACAAACCATGTACATGTATATATACATATATGTTCAAGTACTCTGAATAAATTTCGTCTTAAACTGGTATATCATTCAGTTTGTCGTCTATTATTGTGATAACGTTCTGATTTTTTCTGATTAGATTATTTTATTGATTTTTATTCATAAGAATTAGTGTTCTGTCCTGTCCATCATCGTTTGGATGGAAGGTTCGTTGACCTTTAAGTGGTATCCGGCAAAAATGGGCGCAGTTACAGCCAAAAGTATGACGGGGCCAGTGGGACCACATTAAAAGCAAGATGGCGGCCTCCTTGGTCAGACAAGGTCGGTAAGATGTCCCCATTTTTTTGTACTTTACGTGCAATAAGTCTCACTAAAAACATATGCTTTGGCTGGACCATTTCCTACAGTGTAAGAATTTATAGTGTATTGTCTTTATGTTACATGACTCAATTTAACGTTTCCACATCGCCAACATCAACATTGCATTGATGAGATTTTGTCATTTCATGAGCGTGCTCATCATTTAGGCCTACTATCAATCATATTACTGCCTGTGTGTCGGATTGTAGGTCAACTCGCCCCCTAGCCGACTCGCCCCTTACCAACTTGCCCCCTAGCCAACTCGCCCCCTTACCGACTCGCCCCCTTACCGACTCACCTCCTGACCGACTCGCCCCCTCAGTTTGCCAAGCACGTATGGCCGGCCCATTCACCATCTAATGAAAAATACAATCAGTCAGAGATGGAATCAGCGATTGCTGCCCTTAAAAATAGGTTCTGGGGTTTGCAGCAGGCACTCAAAGTTGAGTTTGTTTTAAGCTTGGTGGATATTCCCTTTGAGTGGAATTTGGGGGTAACAATATTTTTTTTATATTGGGAAAACTAATTCAGTATTATCGTGTGTATGGGTCATGGCGCAGTGTTTCCTGTGTATTTTCTATGGGATTTTGTGCGCCACAACACCAACACTCTACCATATTAATTAACTTTGCGGACTATTTCGGATAAAAAATGGTACATATTAGGCATAATGCCCGGCGACGCAAACCTACGAAAGTGTTAAGGAGACATGATTTATGACAAAGGGTGTAACGGTCGCTACACACTTTCAGGTTCCAATAACTTCACAGGATGCAATTATTAGTTCACAGTTAACACTAAATTTATTCGGCGAGTACAGTCATCAAGGATCACATTGTTGATCGGCCATATTAAATTATATCCCAGCATGCACTGTCTGTGTCATGTGTCATGGAAAAACAGTCATGTCATCTGGTGCCCGTTCAATTCCAAAAAAGGAATAAAAATTACACAAATAAAAAAATCAATAATGGGGCATTAAAAATTGACATTAGTGTACAATGTACCACTATGACTTTATACATCACACAAAAAGCGTATATCCACTGCAAGAACCTAAATCAATTTTCGCAGTATATGTGAGGTCCCAGTCAATTGAATGAGCAACAGAACACTATAACTAACTAACTAAC